GCCACAACCACTAAATGCTTCAGATAAGCTTTCCCCTATATATTATCTCTCTATATAAAAATCTACATATTTTCAGTTATTATTTATACCATATCTCCCATTTCAATACATAAAGTCCATTTTCTGCCTTAAAGTTACCACTCTACTTCCGACTTTGATTCTATTACCCTTTATGTTATATCATGCATCCGTTCTTTCCTTCCCACCCTTGCTTATTCACTCTCCTCAAATGAAGCTTTTCCCATAATCTTCAAAGATTCTTTAGTCTTCAAAAAAGTGAGTAACTCAGAAAACTAGTAATCTGTAGACTACTAGGATAATTTTACCTATACTATATGATTATATATATACTCATTCTCTAGTTATGTACAAATAAGAAGTTACTTGAAATATATATGGTTGTCAGAAAAGTCATGACATATTTTTCTGTATTTCGTTGCAAAAATGCATCATGACTTTTCCAACAACCATATATATATACATAGGAAACAAAAATAACTTGAAATAGAAAACTAATGAAGTTAGCTAATTTTCAATAATAAAATTTCCATTATTTTTTATAAAGATATAGAATCAACAAATCACCAAAATTGATTTGATCAATTTCTGCCTATACTCAGAATTATTTTGCATTTTAACAACCCAGAAGCATTTCTGGAAGCTATAGAAAAACAACAAAAAAATTATAAATTTATCACAATAGGCTAACAGTGCTCAGCAAGAGGATGAATTGCATTCTTATAAACTCTATAACACTACTGAAGCTATATTACAAGCCACTGAGAAAATAGAATAAATAATTAGTTTTCACACTACACTGATTTTTATATCAAAGGTACTGCTTATGTTTATTGAAAAAGTGAACAAAACTATCTACATGAGCTATATTTAACTCATAAGATAAATTATATTTGTTTCCTAAAATAATTTCCTGTGGGAAGGTGATACAGAAATCACAATGTTCTTTTCATGAGAAATGATGTATACTTTCTACGTGAAAGCTCAGTACCTGTTATGTTCAGCCTACAAATGTTGTCTTATATGCTAAGCATCGGTGAGTCTATCATTCGTTTAAATACTTATAGGAATAAAAATTATGCTTTGAACTTCCACTGCTTTTCTTCATTTAAAAATCCTAAAATTTTTACCTCTATAAAGCAATGTATACAGAGAAAATACTTAAAAATTGAGAACAAAACATAATCTTTAACAACCTAAGGTTGTTAATCACGTATTGTTTTCTCAGTGAGACCTTCTCTGATCACATTATTTGAAACTGACTCACTCACTACCCACTCTGAACTCCCAATACTCCTTTTCTCTCTTATTTTTCTCCGTAGCATTTATAACTACCTGGTATTTATCCTCCCTCTCTCCCCTCTTCCCTTCCTCCCTTCCTTCCTTCTATCAATCTATGGATCTATATCTTCAGTCATTTATTAAATGTCTCTTATACCTGAAACTAAGCTCTACGAAACAATGTTTATATTTTGTTCACTGTTGTTCCAAGTCCTTGGAACAGTGCTTAATACATAAGAAGCTCTCAGTGAACATTTGTTAAATGATTGATCAAAGGTATCCTGTCTTGTTACCAAGTTTAAAAAATATATACCATTTTTAAATATTTCATAGTACTCTATTCAGTTGATGTATCAGAGTTAACTAAACCCCATTTTTATTTCATTTAGGATATCTTAAACTTTTCATTATTAGTGTCTTTTGATGAATATCCTTGATGCTTAAATTTTGGGCATATCATTATTTATTAATTATTTCCTTAGGGTAATCCCAGAAGTAGAATTTTGGTGTTAAATGCCATGTATATTTGAAACATTCTGCCAGCCTGCCCTTGAAAATAGCTAATATCAATTTATACTTCCACTATGATGTATAAGAGTCCCCAATTTTCTACATTCTCATTATTTTCATTCATGTCTTTATTTAAGTTTGCTAAGTATTTCTCTCCTCTAAATGTCCAAAAACAGGTCAATAGGACAGATAAAGTAATGTTTAAGTCTTTTTCCACTTAACAATTTTACTTTACCTGAGCTGGATCAATCAGAAAATCATTTATGTATCCATGAATAAAAACTTGATGCAATAAGAGTAGATTACTTTACGATGTGATACACCTCATTTAATGATATCTTCATTAAAGGATTCTAATGTGTTTTTATTAGTTACACAACATTTAATGGTATATATGTATATATATAGTATACTGATTGCAAATATACTATCTCCCTCTTTAATTTAGATTAATGATAATGGGTTATAGCCTTGTTAAATATATGCATTAAAAAATATTTCATTTATGAATAAAACAAAACCATTTCCACACTGTTAATAAAAGTTCTAAAACAATTTATAATAAATACTATGCTATAAAATGTTGAGGGATTGAGTGAATGTCCTATAAATTTGTAAGTCTCATGAGAATATTGTTTATATATCAACCAAACTCATAACTTATCATTTACCAACCTTGGTTCTTAACACTTTTACCTACAGATGTAAGATATCCAGTAATCAATTTTACATTGCCATTATTCTAATTATAGGTAGAAAGATAACAATATACATGTTCTTCGATTTCTATAAAGCAAACCACTCAGTTCTTAGTGATATCATGTCTCAAGTAACAAATATGCATATCATACTCTATAAATTGATTCAATCTTATACTTTCATTTACATGTATATGTATACCTATATGCACATGCTATTACAAAATAATTTTATTTGACTCATAAAAATTTAGACACATAACACAAGAAAGTCCTTCCCATTGGTATTAAGGTAAAACAAAATTACCAATGTTTAAATCACAAACAATAGGCTTAGTAAGCACACTTTTTCCTTATTTTTATTTCTAAGAAGATATCATATGAAGATATGAATGGATGTCATTCATAGGATAAACATTGACACAAAACATAACCAATAGAACTATTATCACTGTATCTTTCGATTTTATAACAAAGATTTTAAAGAAAATCAAAAGACTTAATATATTAATTTTCCCCAGCAGAAGTTAGACAGTATTAAGAATTATAAGTAGAAATGGGATATTCTTATTTGAAAGTAGAAAATCATATTAGTATGTATATATTAAAGAGAATCAAGAATCCTTATCTTATTGATCAATAACAAACCTAACCTAAGTAAAAACCAATAAAAAATAATCTAGAGAATTGATAACATCACACCCAAATATGTTTTCCTTGACTGGATCAATGTAACAAAGTTAGCACAAATAGAAGTTAATCTTTAATTACCAAAATGAAGCATAGATATTAATTGAATTGGCCCTGGTCACCTATTAAATCTATATTGGAGACATATTTTGGACTTCATACCTGAAGACAGCATATTAAATTTAAAATATGGACAATTCTATAATTACTACAATATCTGCACATCAGAGGAAATCAAATTTCATAGATCATGGCAATGAAGTAATAGCTTCAGAAACCCATATTTTTTATAATGTGTTGATTATAGAGGCATGTAGGATATCTGCTACCATTTCTTTGCAGTATAGGCTACTTTATGATGTAGGACCACAGACAATGGATAATTGGTTTAACCAATGTGATAAACTCTTCATTTAGTAAGTAGGCTACAGTAATATAGCGACTTCGACAATCACTATGTGTTTGACTTGCAAATAACTGTCTTCATAATGAAGATATTCTCCTCTCCCAAATTCTTCCAAAGCTAGTGTTGGTTTGACACTAAGAAGAAATATGTCTCATAAGATTTTATACTTATAAGAAGCTTCAGGGATTCTGAAAATGACTTTAAAATATTGTCTTATTAATCTTGAGTATTCTCATGAGAGCCAAGTAGATGGCAAATATTATCTTAATTTTGTAACATAGAAACTAATGAAATAATTAGTGAATTTATTTGCCCTAGTCTAAATATTGAAGCAATGAAGTTCACAGTGCCAATCCTGGCACTTACTGAAACTCTTATTAAGCCTACAATCATTTTTCTGGAGAGTAAAGACAGAGAAAAAAAAAATCTTCAGAAAATGTGTTCAACATAATCTACTTCAAGGAACTCTTAAATGGATATTTATTATTTGATTCAGTGTGCTTGGTGATGGTGACAGTGATAGTACCAAAACTTCAAAGAACTAATTTCCCTGTACCACTTCTGAGTGAGCACATACTGAGTGTGGTCAGGGGCCTCTAAAGGTGGTTAAATTCTAATTCACAACCAAGCTAAAACCTGACAAAATCAACAATGGTGCAATAACTCAAGAAAAGAAAAAGAAAATAAGGAAAGTTAAATTTTGACTTAAAATGAATCTTTAAGTTGGCAATATACTTGATTCCTGAAAGACAATGAAAAACAAAGAAAGCCTCTATGGATCTCAAGCTTTCCAGGTATTCTTATTTGCTTGACAGGTGGTAGTCTTCTGCTCTGGTTTTCCATTAAAAATTCTTGTATGAGTTTCTCCATTCTGTTTCTTTCCTTCTTTTACTTTTCTTGCTTCAAATGCTCATAAAGATTCATTACAACAATTTGGTTGGTTAGTGGCAATACATTTGTAAATTAATGTTGAAGACTAACATGATTTGTATCTCATACACGACTGATGTCTCAAATAATTGTAAAGTACCTTTCTCCTCTAACAACTCTAGCATATTAAGAATTCTAGGGTTTTCTCCCTAAAAGAAGATGATTTTATTAGCTTAAGAAAATTGGTAAAATTGTCTTTGGTAAAATTAAGAGATCTAAAACTACAAACATATCTATAGTTGAAATAAAATCTAAAATCTTTCACTGAATAAGACAGTTTTTTGGGGTTTTTGTTGTTGTTGTTGTTGTTGTTGTTGTTGTTTTGGTGTTTTGTTTTGTTTTTTTGTCCTGCACACTTAAAAGAGGCATGGAAATTTGAGTGTATGTTTACGATTGTCCATTTTATATGGAAACCTTAGATTTACCTCCCCCCCCCCAATGGCTTTAAAAAGACAGTCTGCGCTTACCTGGTCCATCAGTCATTTTGTCCAGGCTCCGAGGAGTTGTGCTAAGAAAGGAGGCATGTTTTATTTTAGCCACAAAACTACGAGGCGGCATGTATTTATGTTGAACTTGGGACATCTCATAGGATTTTTGAACATCATAGCTGCCTGGTGCTGGAATATCCTGAAAAACATTTCAATAGATGATCATAAACACATCTCACATGGAAAATGTCTACATAGCATAGATGTTAACACTAAGCAATGGTATTTGTAGAAAAATACAAAAATTTTCTTTAATCATTAAAAATAGAAATTTAAAATAGTATCGCTATGCCCTCCTAACAAAAGTATAAATTCACTTATTAAAATTCAGGGTAAAATAAACAGAATTCTGGAATTTAGGTCCATATTCATAAAACAAAATTGCCTTCATAATATAGATCAAACTCCCAGTTTTAAATTTTATAATGAAAATCAAATATCATACAGGAATAAGAGCAATGATTATTGTTTCCATAAGCAGCAAAACTATTCCTGCTTTACTGTCCTATGTGAGCATACTTTACTTATTTTACAAATGAGACTGTTTATTTCATTTTTAACAGATTCCAATTAAGTTAAAAGGCTTCCCTTTTCATCATTTATGGTTCTTTATATGCTCTACAATTATATTAACATTTTTAATCAACACAAGCCACATGGATATTAATAACTGCAATAATAATTCTAAACCAAATTAAATATATCATAAATTTGTTGAGCAATTAATTTTGGTAAACCATTAGCTAATTATCTCAATGAAAACTTTTTAAAACTCATTTCCTCAAATTATTTTAAAATATAACATGTTATATAGAACATATATCTTCATCTGTATTATGTTTAAAGACCAAACTTTTAATTATTTTCTGGTAGTCAGGAGACTAATATGGCTATAGGTGTAGACTCTAGCATTAGATCTTGAGTTCCAAATTCAGCTCCTTACTTGCTGTGGGACCCTATGCAAACCTTTTACTTCTGTGATCCTCAGTTTCCTCAACTGTAAGTGGGGAAAATGATAGTATTTACATATTATGTCATAGGGTTGTTGTGAATATAAAATGAGTTAAAACAAGTAAAATATTTGATTCTATAAAAGCGTTAGCTAATCTTATATTCCACAAAAGCTAATTTTTTTTTCCACACAAAAGCTAATTTCAATGCAAAAAATCAAGACTGAAAAATCAGGGTTTGTGCTAATAGGGAAGTATTTTACTGTTTCAAGTAAGTCAAACAAATTTGAATACTGAGAAAGCATACTTTTAAAGACCACCTAGAAGCCATGCTTTATAAAACATACTTTCTCTTATTTCTTATATCCCTATTATCATTCTCAAGCATATGCCAACAACATTATCCTCCACTTCCAGAAATTACTAAATATTAATATATTATAATAAGAGTACTGATCTGGGGGAGGGAATTCTCACAGGAAACCCCACATTTCTGGTTTAGGTCCTGTGTCAAACACCAGAAAATACAATCAGTAAAGCAATTAAGCGATGTCAGCAGCTGTTTTCTTCTTGCCTGCATGAAGAATGTATTTAGTAAGGGTAGGCTGAGGATAGCTCCAAAGATGACTTGGATCTTTCTGGTGTGCTTCTGTGGTATGGAAAAGGAAAGTGAAAGAGAGTGCAAACATACAAAGAAATCCTAAGTACACATTATACCCGGAGTATTTAGGAGAGCTTTGCAAAGATCTTGATAATCTCTACTATACATTTTAATTTCCTTCCAGAAGTTATTACTGCTCCTGCTTCCCTTAACGCCATGCCTGGTGTCACCACCTACTCCTTCTTCCAGTGCCCAGTGGAGATATGATTAATGGGTTTGGCTGCTGGCACACAGGAACCACTTTTTAAAAAGGCCTTGAAGCAAAGGTAATTAACGGCATCAGTGATCAGTTTTCTTCAACAATAAGGTGTCCCCACATAGGAAAGTTCATCAGACTAGTTATACCCTAAATTTCAGTGGATTCACTGGATCCTCTATATACTACCCTTGTTCATGACAACCACTTCTTAGGGCATGTTTATGCTTCTCTGAAAACTTATTCCCTGTTTGTGTCCTTTACAGGTGTTCCTGGGCTCATCTTACCATCTTCAGTTCTCATTGTATTTGACCAAAAGATTAATATTTCAAGTCAATTCCCAGGCTAATGATTAGTAAGACAAATCTTAAACCATGTCTACCAGCAATGACTTAAACAATACTTATTCATAGGCCCTAAACATCATTTCAGGGGAAAAAAGTAGTATCTATAGATTAGATTATCATATCTCCAATGGTGCTCCTTTATACATCACAGAAAATAGGTAAGGCAAATGATTAGTGGCTATAATAGACATTTCTCATGCCTTTTTCTTTAAAACCCAGTATTTGAATTCTGTTCCCGTGTTTGAGAAATTTCACATGCTTTGCAGCAGAACAGGAGTCGCAGCACAAAAGCTAAAACTTCCTGATTCTCATTTTCCTGGCTTACTTTTTGTAGCTAGGACATGAATCTAGGTCACAGGCTTACATGCCAGCCTTTGAACCATCAGCCAGTTAGTCAAAGAAACACAAAGCATTACAAATTCCATGTTAGCGAGGGGGCTGGTGGTGCTAGCAGCTGTGTCCATTTCCCAGAGGCAACAGTAGGAGAAAAAACTGAAAGAGGCAATTAGGGAAAATGTCATAAAATGTCTAAGGGAAGGACACCAACTCTTACCTGAAGGACAAGCCCACAGAAATATACAACAGGTCGATTAGAACAGCTATATGTATATTCATACACTACACTCAAGTTAAAATTCTAGGCAATTAAACCAGAACTGCTTCTTTCTAGTTATGAAACAAATATTCTTCCATTTCTGTTTCTAGTACTATATAAATATATAAAATGTTGGATGGTTTGATATAGTGAAAACCACTCACTATGATTTGGACTAAAATAAACTTTAATTATATTTGAGGGTACTTGTTCTAGCTGTTATTTAATAGGTAAGCATATTCTATTCTAAAAGTTTGTTTTAAAATCCCAAATATATAATTGTTAAAAAGTTTCTTAGAACTTCTTTTATGCTGAAGCTTGTCCTATTAGTGAATTAATGTAAGAAAACGTCAATGAAAGTTTCCAAGTCTTTAATCAAATAAATATGGTAAAAAAATTTATAGGCCATAAATGTAGGGAAGTTTTCCTGAATATGCAAAAAACTTGGATTAAAAAATTTACCAATATGCTTATCCAAGTTGCTTAACTTGGGCTTTATAAAGAACAAAGGCATTTCGGGTGATTATCAAACTATCTTTGTTTTGCAAATTGCAAATTATAATTACCAACATGTTATTCTTGCCATTTTTCAGTATTCCTAATATTCATCGTTCTAAACATATGCCTCTTTAAATATATGACTTTGAAAAGAATAATTTATTTTAGAAAGAAAAATATTTTAATATAGATACAACATAATGTAATCGTAATAGGCAGAAATAGGAAATGTTGGTTTAAATTTTCATATTCTCTTGGCACAGTGAAAAAGATCCTTTATCCTAATGCTGTTTTATGAAAGAAACTAGAATTGTCATCTATACCATGATACTGTAAGGCTCAGTAAAGAATAACAAAAAGCGCTGACGGGTGAAATCATGAAGGCAGTATAACCATTGAGTCCTGCTAGTTTCTCCAATATAACACGATACAATTTACACTTGAATCACAAATTTCCAGTTCTTTGCTGGACATTTCCACTTCATTATCCTCAGATAGTCTTAAAATAAAGCTCATTATCTTCCCTTCCCCAATTACCCAAACATCTATGCTTTCTCACCAGCCTACAGTAATTCCTTATTTAGCCAGGCCTGAAAACAGAAAGCTGGCTTTCACTTTTCTTCACCTTTCTCTCCCGTTTCTAAAAATCATCAGTTATCCACTGTACTCTCTCTCACCTTATCTCTTTCTTTCCTGTACTTTCGAAACAATCCTGGCATGTGCTCTAAAATAGTATTTGACTGCTGTCCTAACTGCCTCTTTGACTGGTAGATCTTCCAGTCTCAAACAATCAGCACCTCAACAGCAAATACTTTATTGTACTATAAGATGACAGAAATTTTCTGGAAATGTTCATTGGTTCCCAAGTGCTTGTGGAAAAAAAAAATCGGAAAATTCTCCTGGAATGCAAAGCCTTTTTAAATTTGAAGGCAAAAATACAATTTTAAAACCCAGTTCAAGTGGACCCTCTTCCATGAAGTATTCTTGATTACCCTAGCTAAAAGTGATATCCTTCACTTTTTAATTCTTCTTTACTTATTGTTCGCATAAACACATAAACATATGAATAGCATATTAAACAAATATATCATACTTATTTGATTCTTTCTTTCTTTCTTCCTTTCTTTGTCTTTATATAAAAGCAGACAGTGGATAAAGCCATCTGACGAGAAGGAAGGCAAGGTTTCCTCTCATAAGATTCTACTTTCCCTACACATTTGCAGATTAATTTTTATTCTATTTTCTCAAATTAAAGACAACTGGTGGTAGGAATCCAGGGGTGTGGGGCTCCACAATCATGCTGGGCATCTAGGCTCGCTCATGCTTTCGGTGGTAAGCTTACGTTCTCAAGATATTGATCATAGCTCCTGCTATAACATTCTCATTTCAGAAATGAAGGGAAGGTCAAAAGGTAAAAATTGTGTTTAATAGCCAAAACAGCCTTCCCTGAGGAACTTTCCTAGAAGCCCAATCCAGTCATGTTGGCTTTCTTTGCATTAGTTAAGACTGTGTCAAATAACCACCTTATAGCTATAAGGGAACCTGAAAAAAAGTTTTTTTACCTGGGCATGTTGTTTTTCTAAATAAAATTGGGCTCTGCTAATAAGGAAGAAAAAGAGAATAAATATGTAGTAGGCAACTAGTAATCTCAGTCATAATAGCTCTCTGCCTTTGAAGGCACTAGAACTATAAAAAAACAAAACAAAACAAAACAAAAAACCTCACTTCTGGAATACTCTCTGGGATATTAGACTATCTCTATCAAAAGCTATTTTAACTCATGGCTTATTAGCTTTGTTGTCTAATTCTTGCTTTCCTTTTGGGTCTCAAATCTTCCCTGAATCCATTCACTCTGTCAGATCTCCTATGATATGTTTTCAGAATACACAGTC